AAGCCCACTTCCAGTCGAAGTTGGAGGAGCACAGCTTTCAGTGAGCAACAAGTATTTTCCTTTTTTTATTTGCCTTTGAAACGGCATGGAACTTCAGCAGGTAGGGGCGCTAGGCACTAAAATGGCTGAGAACACATTTATATTCCAGTCCTTTTTTACTTTTCATACTTTTGCAAGCGTATAATGCAGTGGAAGCTAATTTTAATTTTTATTAAAAAATGTTTCTCGTTCTTATATTTGCGCAACATAATGTCGGGAAAGAGATGAAATCTTCAGATGACCTGGAAGAGTCTTTTGGGAGATTTATAAACTGTCTACTTCATATGTAAGAACATTTGTTTTAATTCCCGTATAAAAGTGAGATAAATTGGTTTGTGATAATGCAAGTCCAAAAATATCTCGAGTTACCACTTTATTTCCATATTGCAAAATAACACAATTCGCTGCATAATTAGAAAGCCGAATTAGATAAAAGGAGCAGTTGCTCGTGATTAGACTGTGCATGCAAAGCATTAGCCTACAAAAAAGTATTTTGGACTCTGAAAGAGACTTTTCTAAGATCTGCAGCTATGAGTTCCGTTATTACAGCCCAGCTATTGGAAATCTATCCACGGGGTTAGAAAAGACTGAAAGGCCTGATCCTGTGGTGCTTTACTTGGGAGAGTAATCCTCATGCAAAATCATCCATTGGTACCATTTGCTCCGTAACAACTGCTGGTTATTAGATGTGTGTATTCAAGACCAGTCTAATTTTCTCTCAAGGTTTTGCAGGTAATTTTCATCATTCGTGCAAATAAAGCAAGAACCTGGAAAACGTGGAAATCTAAAATTCAAATGGAAATAATTTATGTAAAAGAAATGATAGAAATCTAGGTGCCTTTGCATGTGAATGATATCCTTAGGGTTGAGTTTTCTCCAACGCACTGCTTCAAAGTCTGCTGCATTTGGAACAGCAGCGTGTTTAGGTTAAAATTTGCTAAAATTCAGCGTCTGCTTGAGAGAGACAAGTGAGGATGGCCCCACAGAGTGGCTTTGTCCTCATGTCGTGGCAAATGTGGCTTGAAGCCCCCCACAGGAGCGAGCTTGCAGAGACCGACACGGCGCTGGTGTTGGAAAGCTTTGATTTCCACTGGCAGTACTTTGCTCAATCCCAGTTCTCATTCATGTCAAGTTCGAGCATCTCTTGCTAAATCTGCATCTTAATTTCTTAATTTGATCTCAGGTTTAGAAACTGCCAGGTTCACCAGCCAGCTGTAAGAGGCATGCATGAATTATTAGACTCCCATTGCCGGTTAAATCTCACCCTTTGTATTTTAAGTCGCCCATTTGCATTCATCTAAAATGCTTTCAGAGAGTTTATCAGAAGAAGTGAAATAAGAAATGAAATAGTTTCACGTAAACTGCATTTTTATGTTTGACTGGTAAAACCACAAAGCAGAGATAAAATACGTAAAACTAAGGCTCTGCATAATAAGCGTATCTATTAGTTTCCCTTATCTTTATAAGGCTCCCATTTGTCATGAGAAGCATTGTGTGTCACTCATCTCGCCTTGTTCTACAAAAGCTCTTTTCTCCCTTTCCTTTTATCTCCCATCAGCGTTTGCAAGATAGGAAGCTTTGCTGGCGGGTGCTGCAGAAGACCCTGGTGACTAAAAAATCATTTAACCTTCAACCCCTTAATAGCAGGAGGAAATAAAAGCTGGTACCTGTGTGCACCTACATAAAACATCCCTGGCACTGCCGATTGCAGCTTTTGCAATCAAGGCAGCCCAGGATTAAGGGGAAAATCTTGGGTCAAACCATCTCTAGAATCATGGGTAAAAAATACTTCTCCTGAGGACCCAATTGAAAACTTCTTGCTGCACAGTGCTTTTGAGAGTAGCTCTGACTCAAAACGCATCTTTCCTTCTGCTCTTCTAGGATTTTTGGGTGCTGTCGGGCACCTGTGGGTCTGGGAGTGTGGGGATAGAAAGTTATTTGGCTTAACTGACAATTCCATCAGAATCTCTATGGGGAGCTATTGTTTTCCATGCCGAAGAAGATGGGGAATTTGAGTGGAGGAAATCTCCATCTAAACATTAATATAAGCAAAACAAACATCCATATCAACAAAAATCTCCAATCAAACGAAAATACGCTACTTCTGTCTGTGGAACATAAACTAATTACACGTGTCATGCTGGCAGTGCTGTGCCATTAGCGCTCTTGTTTTTTTAAAAAAAAAAGAAAAGCAACTTTTTTTTTTTCCCGTCCTCCAAATTCCTGCTCTCCATATAAAGGATTTTATAATCTCTAGCAAAGTGAATTGAGAGTTAGTTGCAAAACCTTACGGTGCATTTTTCACCATCTGGCTACTAGAGCAGACTTGCTGGGGGAGTTCACGTCGTGCGAGACAACTGCTGAGCAAAACTCCGCGCCGAGGTACCGCTGCGTCTGCGCTGGTTCTGGCAGGGTTCTTTGCTTTCCGAAAAGTAGATCTCTTTCAGTAGCACCGCTCAGCAGGTATTCAGCGCCTGTCGGGTTTGCTTACGTACCTCGTGCATAGAAACTGAGGTAATTCTTATACAACACACGTTATCCTCTCCGGACTAGCCTGACGGAGCGCAGACAGACCCTTCTTGCCAGGCTGTAGCGGAGGTGCGTGGTGTGAACGCCGAGCTGGGAGCCAGCCCATCCCCTGGTGCGAGGCCGTTTGTCAGCAGCATCTTCCTGGCCCTTGGAGGGGTTGGTACTCACGGCTCCTATAACAATCGCAGGAGTTTTTTTAAAAGAATGGGAATAGTGATGACTTGACAAGGATAAAAGCTGGTAGGAAGTTACCCTCCTTGTCTTCAAAGTGTTTGTATCTTCCTGTTTATCCTTTAGCCTTCAAACGTCACATTTTCTATATTTTATGTTTAGATATTAGATTTATTTAGTAACTAAGCCTGTGTTCTTTATATCAATGCAAGGCACTTGACTTGACTGAGTTACAGCTGATTTCTGTGAACAGAACTGAAGGAGGCTCAGCTCCAAGGAATAAAATGCATTGGGAACTGTCTTCCCTTTTTAATGTTCTCACGAGATAAATAGATATAGTGCTTGTGTACCTAGAAATAAAGGTATGGAGTGTGTATATCTGTAGTGTAACAACTTCCAACTGCAAGGCATATGGTGAGGAATAAGCAGCCAGGTAGTAACTCTGCAGTAAAGAGCAGCGGGGAACAACGCTACCTGACTGCCAAAAATAAACATCGTGTTTCACAGCAGAGCTGTAGGATAAAATTCAGAAAATAATCCTCCAGCAAGGAGGCCTTCAGCCGAGCACTCGTTTGGAGCACGGCATCTCGGTGAAGCGATGGGTCGACAGCAGTGTCCAGGTTTGCAGGAGGTCCTCCTGGTTGCTGAAGTTGGGAGAAGTTACCCCGTGATCTGTCAAAGACGGAGGAGCAACATGGTACCGTGCTGGTCTTTAGAAGTTCTTTGACAGAAAATAATTATTTTGATATATAAAAGAAGGTAACAGAGGGTGTGGTGGCCACCTGCTCCCCGTGCCACCAGGAGAGGACATTTAGCAGCTTCATGCAGGCCTGGATCCAATGCTTTGGCGACCTGGGCGCTCTGCAGGAGCTTGGTCAGGAGGGGCTGGAGCGAGGAGGTGGGCAGCCAGGGCGATCTGTCCGAAGGAGTTCTGGCGCGAATGGCTTTTTCTTGGGCAGGGACTTGGATGAGGTGGCCCCTTGGGCTCCCTCCCAGCCTCAAACAGTGTCGCTTGGCCCCATGCAGCTTCGCACCAGCTGAGGTGAGCTATGGCCCCAGGTCCTCACTTGGGCAACATTTCTGATATTGTTGTCAGATTGCACTCTGATAATGAGTAAATGGAAACCGAGAAAGCTCTTGAGTTTCTGCATCTGGGTGGAGGCACAGGCAAGCCCAGCGTGGTTTTTATGTAAGGCATTTTATTGCTTCCAGTGGTGGTCTTAATCACTGTCATAGCACCTATTGTGTAGATACAACTGGCAAGGCTGCAAACGCTTGTATTTTTCTAAATATGGAAATTTGGAGCTACCTGGTCAGAGTCAGCATTCTACTCTGCCATTATATTTATTCACAGAGTTTTTCTATCAGAAATTCAGACTGATTAGCACTGAATAGGAGGAGAAGAGGAAATAGTGTTCTGAAGAAATCGCTCTTAGCGCGTCATGATTTTCCCATCTATATGGATTTACTGTGTATTTCATTTTTGAAGAGGATCTGCAGAGACTTTTGCTCCCTCTTCAGCTCTCACACCTGTATTGTGCTCTCTCTGTGCCTTTTAACTGCGCCTAATCTTCTTAAGTTGCAAGAATTGTTCTAGTTTATCTATTAAGTGTGTCCTCTGAGAAGATAATTAAGGAAAAAAAAAGAAAAAGGAAAAAAGGGCTTTTCTGTCCCTGTATACTTTGGTTTTGAATCCTTGTGGTTTCTTTGAATGCTCATCTCATGGTAGTACCTGTTCTCTGACTTGCATATATACTATTTTTTCATAATAAGAGTAGCTGAATGTCATGAACACACAACTCCATAGTGTATTCTCTGCAAAGTTGTTTCAACAAATTGCAGAGAATTAAACTCAAATTTAAAAATCAATTTTTTTCACATGAGGTTGTTTTTCTAACCTGTGTTATTATTATAGTTCCTCATCTGTAACTTACAGTAGATTTAAATTTAAATTCACACCATCATCATTGCAACCGAAATCCCGTCTTTGCTCTGTAAATAAGCAGAAGGAAGCTGTGCCATAAGCATGGGGTAAGCTTGTGTTGTTCAGGATGTTGAAAGTTCCTGGCATTGATATTCCAGGTAGCTGGTGTGTGTCAGACCTCACGGTGGTTTGCAACGCCAAAGTCTCAGCTCATGAGTTTTCATTTGCAAACTCTTTAAAAAAATCTCTTTCAAATGATTACTTAATGCTTGAAATACTACAGCCTTGCTCCCAGTCATCTTATTTGTAATAGTGTCTCATGTGTTGTGTCTCCTAGCTCTACATACAAACTACCACACTTACAATATCCATGAACTTAAGTGCTTCAGTGGCCCTGGGGATGCTTTACATGCCGAAGGTGTACATCATCATCTTCCACCCGGAGCTAAACGTCCAGAAACGGAAACGCAGCTTCAAGGCTGTGGTCACGGCGGCCACCATGTCATCACGGCTCTCGCACAAACCCAGCGACAGGCCCAACGGCGAAGCCAAAACAGAGCTCTGTGAGAACGTAGACCCCAACAGTAAGTACTCCTGGTCTTGTGCTCGTTGGCTGCCTGGGGGCTTTGGAGGCATTGACCCATACCTGAGGTTCGGGGTCTTTGTATTATTTTGGTCTTGTCGGTTAAAGATTCCTGACGTCTCGCGTGACATAGTTAAATTCACTGTTTCCTCCCTGGTTTTTGGAGTTGTGCCAGTTGGCAGCAACTCCTGGCAAAAATGTTTGGTAGCAGTGAGTAACTCCTCCTCCTTTCTCTCCTCTGTGAGTGAGAAATCAGCAGCATCCTTGAGTACCCAACCCTTCAGCCTGTGCCAAACTCAAACCTTCCCAACCTGGCAGGTAGTTTCCAGCACGGATGGAGGAAGGACGAATACCAAGCTCATTGATAACTCCGCTAACCTGAGTTATGATTCTGTTTCTGGCAAAGTTTCTTTGCAAAAATCTCACAATCCCTGAAGATTCCCATTTAAGGATTTTTATCTGGCCTTAATGCAAATCTTGCCACTGATTTAAAAGGAAAATAGATGGAAAAGATGCTTCCAGTTCCCTTAATGTGCGTAGCCTGGTGTGATCTCGCTCGAAATTACGTACTGAGGCCATCAAATTCGATTTGCCTTTGAATCTGGAAGGAGCTGAGGAAGGAGACAGCTGCACAACTTTGTAGCATATTGGAAAGGTTTGGGCATGTCTGCAGTCTTTATGAAAAACAGATCTGAATGTGGCGAAATGCCCTTTCCTTGCCCATGATCTGCTCATCCATTCGCTGCTGCAACCCCTGCCACTTCTTGTCTGTTCACCGAGCGGCTGCCTCACAGCGCAACTCTCCTGTCAAAGCAAAGTGGAAACAGCCAGCCAGTTATTGACACAGCACTTTTCCTCCCTTCGTTCACCCCCTGAGTGTTTTTCTCCGATATCTTACCATGCAGGTATACAAAATATTTTCTAGCTGGGGAAGGAAAAAAGAAAAACAAATAAAATTTTTGTCTGAACTCTGATTCTGACATAAGACAGTGAGGAGATGCACCTCATAAATTAAGAGCCTTCTCCAGTCATACTGAACAGAGCCCTTAGTACACGAAATAAATGTATTTTCTGTGTTGGGTGTTAGCCAGCAAGAGGGAGAGCTGGGAAAAGGCCTTTGAGGCTGGAGGGAGAAGGGCTGGGAAGGGGCAGGTGAGTGTTCCCTAATTGCTCTTCTGTGCAAAGGAGTTGGGATTAGTTCCTCCTCCAGAAAAAAATACAAATAATAAAAAAAAATCAAAATCCACCCAAACAATTTGACAAGAAAATGTCCAAGTTCTGATGATGAAAGCTTCAGTGTAGAAGCAGAGCTTGGGGGTTCCCCTCCTGGTCTCGTTCTCTCCTGCGCTGCATCTTATTGCTGTTTTCAGGCTTCTGAGAATATTTCCCCCCTCCTCCCCTGCCAAAGAACAGTCATTTTTATCTCCTGGAGATGAGATATGGTTATTAAGAAGAAATATTGCTGACTTAAAACCCCTATATTTCTGATAAAACACAGCTTTTTTTTCACCTGGGACTATATACTAGAATATGTTTTTAAGAGGCAGGGGAAGAAATAAGGGACAGAACCCCTGCTTGTCGAGATCTACCAGTTCCCACCCTGCACATCCAGTCAGCAGCAGTCCGGGGTTCGTTACCCCTGATTTAAACCTGGGGTAAAGTCCACAGGGAGTAAAACCTTCACAGCTTCAAAATTAGAGTGTGTGAAGGAAGAATACTCTCTATGAGCTTATTTGCTTACCTGTAGGATTCTAAAGTGTGTAAATTTGTTTGTTCAACCTAGCCAGTCAGGAAATGTGCAACAGTATTAATTTTATGTGTCTTTCTCCAAGTACTGGGCTTTTATATTTGTTATGGTTTGTGAAAAAAAAATAAATCTTTTAAAGATTTTAATTATAATTTTATATATAGTACCATCTGTTCATGTTAGCAGCTGCACCTACTGCTACTGTTCTATTCCCTGGATATGTGTGTTAATATAAATTATTAGAAAATCAAATGAAATAAGCTATTTCTGTACTTTAAGTACTTGGGTACATATGGTCCCCGCGTAGGCTGCTACTACTACAGTAAATGGGAACTTTTTTCAATAGGTTGTCAAACAACCCTCTAATCAGGCAACATCCACCAAGTAATCCATTGAATACCTAGAGTTACTTTTTTTTTTTTCAAAATTCAAATATTTTGTTTTAAAAAAAAACAAAAAAAGTTTAAGGTTTGATTTTTAGGTGGAAGACCTGAAAACCATATTAATGACCTCAAAAAGAGCAGTGTCACCCAAGCAGAACGCCCCACGTTTCCAGTGCCATTTTGAACATGGTCTCTGTAAATAAATAAAGCTTTGAACTCTTTGTAGCAATTTAACGTCAGGAAGTATTTCACGCAGCGGATAGGGAAATTTTCAGGATTGTACCAACTGGAAAAGAGGAAACGTGAATGAAAAATTCCCCCAGGTGTGGGTGTCAGTGCTAGGAGGGGGGTGGGCGCTGTGGCAGCTCCCCAGGAGCACCCCCAGGGTGGGATGTTGGGGGGTGATTCCTGCCTGGCTCCTGTGCCAGGCTGAAAATAATTTAATTGAAGGAGGGATTCAAGGGTGAGTCCCAGACTTGTCAGCGCTGTGCAAAGCTCACTGAGGTGCAGACCTGGCTTAGCCACCGAGTGTTTTTCTCCTAAGTGGAAAAGTACAGTTGAGTTTTCCAGTTTGATTTTTCCATTGTGTTTTCCTGTTTGATTTTCCATTGTGTTTTCCTGGTGATGCTGCTGTTTGTGCCTTGCTTGGGTACTGGAGGCTGGAGTCGCCATTTCTACTGAAAACCAAAGATTTTGTACCTCCTAAGAACCGGTTAGCACTGAGCCACCAGCAGGGGATTCACGTACCTCCAAACATTGGGGAATTGAGCCCAAATTTATGGCCTGTCCTATTTACATGCCAGAGTCGAAACCAAAAGCAAAACGTGGATGGTTTTACAGAAAAGTAGCCTTGAAAAAAGACCTCCCTGCTTGAGCAGACTTTTAAAAGAATGCCTGAGGAGCTGAAGATGTGCGCGTAAAACTGGAAGGGCTATAAATTGACTGAGTGGCTTCCCCGGAGCAGGTGCTGAGCATCGCGTAGAAACGCTGCACAAAACCCTCGGGTGATGTGTGGGAATTCGGGACGGGGGGAGAAAAAAGTGTGCAGAGCACTTAGGAGAGCTGGGCCTCAAGCACTGGGGTTTTAGTGGGAGTGTAAAAGAAGAAACTCCATTAACGTGGGAGGAAAACCACTTGAAAAGCAGTGACCTTATATCCCACCCGTCCGGAGGAAGAGGGACTCGCTGTGTTGCAGCTTTTTGTTAGGATACATGGGAAGCAAGAAGTGTCACACGCTGAGCTCCTCAGCCATGACCTGGGAGGGCTCTCACACAGAACACGGTATATTAAGGCCACGCTTTTCAATCTAAAACCGCGTTACTTACGAAAACTCCCTTAATCATTCCAGCTTGCCATCTGGCATGCGCATGCTTTTCCTCCTTCGACAGCTTTTTCCTGCTAATGCATGTCTGTGGTGGGTTCGGATGAGCAGGATTTGGTGCACGGCACCTTCCATCCGTGTAACGAGTTCATTCTACTCTCATGTGTCCCTGGTGGAATTTCACGCTGTTCGAGAAGACACGTCTCACCGAGCCTGAAGCTGAGCAGACAGCGCACGCTTCTGCTCGGTCGCCTGCTTGTGCTCCTGCTGCGAGAGCCGAGTGCCAGACTATGAGAAAAACATTTGAACCTCCAACCCGTACTTATCTTATATTGAGATTTACATGTAATTACTCCTTTTCCCCAAGCAACTTGCCTTAATTCATGGCTTTACCAAACAGAGCGACAGGGAAATCAGCGTCTCGGTTGTTTGGTAGTGAGGAGGCTGTGCTGCTCGCAGGCTGGATGAGCAGAGCTTACTAGAAGGTGTTTGCGTCCACGTGTTTCCCTCTTGAGACTGTTGTGCAAGGGAAGCTGAGCTGCCCGGAGCCTCCTGGGACTGGCTCTTTTGAGAAGATGCTTTCTTGCAGGGATGGGGATAGAGGCTTCCAGCATTTGGCAGCACAGGGAGCATTGGTCTTCCAGTTGTCCCCGTTTCCGATCTCATGGGAAAAACCTCCCTGCCTGTGAGAATGGCGCTGAGATGAATAGTAGTGCAGTAGCCCAGTAGTAGGGAGCAGTGAGGAGGAGGCGTGCAGCACCTCTGCACCGGAGACCAAGTGCGTCGGGTGTTGGAAAGATGGAGCAGCTCATGGGAGGAGACCACATTCCCGAGGAGTTCAGCTGAGATTTGTTGAGAGCTGGTAAAGGAAAGGTGTCGCCATGGACTAACCAGAAAACTTTAAGGTCTGAAAACTTAGTTTTCAGTTCAATTTTCAGTAGCGTTATAGTTTTGCGGACTTTTAAGTTAGCAGGGCTGAGTGCCTGTACAGACATAGTCAGGATGGTTTTTTCTCTTTCTCCTTTACTTGGCATGAAGTGGAACTTACCTGGCAGATGATTCAGTTTTCGGTAGCTGCACCTTGTCCCCAAAGAGATCGGACACCGTTTGCACGTTTCCGTTTTCAAGCAGTTCTTCCCTCTGTGCTGTCAGCTCCTCCTCATTGCAACATCAGCGAGGGCAGCATGTGCCCATCCTCAATTTTCTCTATGCGTTGGAGAAAATCCACTTTGTGGATCCCCACCAGTAAGCTGTGGGTAGCGTACGTGGGGTGCAAGCATCTCCTGTCTTGAACAGAGGTGCAGACACTGCCGCACTGCGCTGTGCTGTGCTGTGTTTGTGTGTTCATTCCTGTTCGTCCTTCACATCATTGCCGTGATGTTGCCTGTTCCATCTTCCTGAGGAAAAAAAAACTGAAATGGTTGTCGACGATGCTGAGGAACCTGAGAATGAGGAAGGTGAGGAAGGGCTGGGGAGTCTTAAGGTGAAGCCAAAACATCCCAGAATTTGCTCAGGGGGAAGGAAAAAGAAAAAAAAAAAGAAATCAGCCAGACACTCTTTTCTGAGCAGCAGCTCCCATGTTCAGAGGTACCTGAACTTCTGTGAACTGGTTCATTTATTTCTAACCCAGAATTAATTTCATATAGTGGCGCCTCTCTGCTTTCCACTATCGCTGCTCTAATCTGAGCTCTTCAGTTGGATTAATGTCATGGCCTCCGTGACAGGGCAAAATTTAAAGAGTTTATTGTGAACAGACGTATTCTACATACCAATGTATTTACTTTTCCTGTAGACTGCATACCACCAGTAAGAA